ACATATATTAAAATTAGAATCATCTCATCTTACTTACCAGAATGTTCCCGTCCTGCAAAAGTTATCCCCAAATCCTGCAGAGCTCCATTTAGCCCTTTAGGCTTCCTATTATAGAAGGCCTAAGGAAAGAAATGCAGGTGTTTAACATGAAACATCTCAAAACCTCTTCATAGTGAAGTGGAAACCATTTCAGAAATATCGCCCTGTGAATAATAAATCTCACAAGGCAATTGTGCAAGTTGGATATCTTCATTTCACAGTGAGGATAAGACCATAAGTGACCTACCCTGTAACAAATCAGAATGGAAAGAACCATCAGTCTCCTCTCTCAGTCTTAGGCAAATCCATTCTGTCTGAGCTCCAGTGTCATTTGTTTGCACTCTGTGCCTTACATTGACAAAGGCCTTAACAGACCAGCATTGAATACAACTATAAATAATACCTCCAGATGTTTAAGCTGTTGCATATTGCAAAGACATGGACATATATATATATATATATTTGGCATAGGTATGGACTTTTTAAATGGGAAAAAGCAGGTATTGCTACTTCCTTCTGGTATCATTTGAGCACTAGAAAGTGGGAACACTCACATTTTATCCTTAAAGACCTAATTCTGCTGCCTAGACTAAGAGCCTGGACTCCAAGTGGCAGGACAGGCTGACTGGTGGGTCACCCTTTGAAAGTTTCCCTGACTACACAGGGAAGAGTACCCTTAGGTGCTCTCAGCCTCCAAGTTAGAACTCTGTTCAGGTACAGACTATGTAATAAAATATACATTCATTTTTTCTGTGTTTTCCATGCTATCCAGAATGTACTTTCTGGTCCAGGTGCAGTTCACTTGCTAGACCTGGAAGTACCTCTAAACAGACTAAGATGATGACTTCCTACGCAGCAATAACAATACACAAAAGAAGTGATGTTAGGAAGAAAGCAGAGCAAAAGGTGTCAGGAAAAGAAAAAACAGCTCAAAAAATATCCTAGGATTATCATTCATTTATCTAACAATAATCTTTTCCTAGCATTATGCTTTCTATAAAAATTCACACAGTTCTAGGGCAATGCAGTTGGTTACTGAGTGGTAACACAAAAAGAAGACAGGTTACTCTGGTCAGTGGAACATACAGTATTGGTTTGTAAGCCCAGGTACAGTTAGCCTTTGAAGTGATAATGTGGGTATGTTTTCTTCTCACCTTGTATGTTGCTTTGAGATCAATCCAGGAATTTAAAATGTCAGGTTTTCGCAGCTGCTTCCTCTTACACTCGTACTGCAAACACACCCCCAGGTCCCAGTCTGTGCAGGGAAAAGCACAGTCAATCCACCACTGCAGAACTGGCCCAAAATCCACATCATGTAGCCTATGTGTCCCTTTATGTGGCCTAAAATCCACATAAAGGGACACAACATCAACACACTGTCAGCACCCTGTGCTGCTGGGCAGGAAGCACAGGCTGTGAAGTCTTTGTCCACTTGAATTGTTGCAATGGGACATCAGGAGAAGTGAATCCCTGTTGTTAGTAAAGACAGGTAAAGATCTCAAAGACATTGTTACATCATTCAGACATGTTAAGAGTGGTGACACAGTTCATTGTGTAAAGCAGGAAAATGTAGCAGTATCAGACCCTGCAGACAAAGATGTGAACACATCAGGATTCAGTGGATTTCTTGTTCTAAGTCTCACCCCAATATTGCACATTTTTAATACCCAGTAACAGGATTTTGGCCACCTAGAAGTGAAGACACAATCTCACTAGTGCCACCAAATGTTGTTACTGTGCAGAAAAAGCAAATAAAGATGTTACTTACCTGTCCAGGTAACAAAGGCACATGCTTTTGCTTCTGAAGTGAAATTACTCTGAGTATCTGTACTGAATATAATTTTCTTCTCCTTTTGTATCTTTTGGATCCATTTCAAAAACAGTGATAAGCAAATGTTGAGAGGGACCCCTTCATCAACTTGATTCTTCATGGAACAGAACAACATGTATGTGTTAGAATGCACTGAAATTCATTTGGGGTTTATTTCTTTTGAGGCTTTCAAAAGCCTCTTTAAATAAAATAGTAAACAGTAATAGTACAAGTGTAAAATAATGCTAAATAGCAATTATACCTGTGTTATACCAGTTAGTTCTGTACAGAATTTAGAGAGAATAGGATGCTCCTGGGGCTGGACATACATGTGGAATTCAGATTCAATCTCTCCTGTTGAGGTGTTTAACAGGACTGCTGGAAATTCAACTGGGACAAACACAGAACAAGGACAAACAAACAAACAAAAAGAACCAAAACCACAAAGCGAGAAAGGTTAAAGCTGCTCACAGAAATTATTCCATTTGCTTTACTGAATCAGAATCACAGAAACATTTAGGTTGGAAAAGACCTCTGAGATCATCGACTTCAACCTTTGAACAAACACCATTCTGTCACCTAGACCAGAGTGCTTTAAACTGGGGCTGAAACACCAGGAGTTAGGAGTGTGATGTAATGAAGAAACAACTTTCAAAGGAGTAAGGGGTATAAATTAAGAGGGGAAATTTGTATTAGATATTAGGAAGAAGCTTTCTCCTGAGAGGGTGGTGAGACACTGTCCCAGGTTGCCCAGGGAGGCTGTGGCTGCCCCAACCCTGGCAGTGTTCAAAGCCAGGATGGATAAAGCCTTGAGCAACCTGGTCCGGTGGGAGGTGTCCCTGCCCAGGGCAGGGGGTTGGGACTGGACGATCTAAAGTCCTTTCCAACCCCTCAGCGTCCTGTGAGTCGGTGAATCCCCCGCAGACTCCAGACCCCGCTCGGCCGCACTCACTGATCTCGGGCCCGCGCCGCGCCGTGTCCTGCCAGCACGTG